GTTATATTCTTGTATTGTTACATATGGAAAACCTTGAATAAACCTTTGTTGATAAAAAAAAGAAAAAAAAGAACGCAGCTAAGGAGGAGGGCAAGGCCAAGATCATGCCAGCGCTCATTGTATTCCTTTTACAACGAGCTTTGCTACTAGTTAATAATATTAATGATATTAATTAAACAATAATCATATAGTGTATGTATTATATTATCATTTCTTACATAATAATTACATTGTATTAGTGATAACTGTTGATGAGAGTATTGTTTTGATTATTTATTTATTAGTTCAATTTCTGACTCAGCCTCCCCTGCTAGTGCAGGGAGTAACAACTAGGGTTGCCAAGTCAAAATATCTTACCGGCGGGGGAGCCTCGCCGGGCTCCGGGAGCCATCCTTCGATGCGCGTGGAAGTGATGCACGACGTCGATCACGTTGAAGGCGTGGCCCCAATCGTCAGAGGGAAAACCATAGAGTTTTCCCTCCGACGATTGGGGCCACGCCCCCAACGTGATTGACGTGGTTGCGTCACCTCTGGTGACGCAGCCACGCTGCACTTCGGGGGTGGAGTTCCCCCCGGTGCCCAATTCCGTGGCGGCGGAAATCGGGCCTCCTAAGCGGGGGTTTACCCGCCCCCACTTGGCAGCCCTAGTAACAACATACTACAATACAATCATAAGTTAATTAAAACAATTCTAACAATTTCAAAATACTCAGCTTTAGATTACTAATCATAACTACAGATGGCGTACAGCTACAATAATACATAAAATTACAGTTCATCAAGAGAAGAATTTGGTCATGTCGATACTGGGGGAAGGCCCAAAAGGAAGACAACAGAGGGCACATCAGAGAGAGCTTTTTATTCTTTATCAAGGGCTTCAGCCATAGGCCTGGTGGAACAGCTCTGTTTTGCAGGCCCTGCAGAACTGTGAAAGGTCCCAAAGGGCCTGAATTTCAGTGGGAAGAGCGATCCACCAGGCCGGAGCCAGCTCAGAGAAGGCTCTGGCTCTGGTTGAGGCTAATCAGATGTTTCTTGGCCCAGGGACTACCAGTAGGTCTTTATTCTTTGAGTGTAATGCTGGGGGGGTATACCAGGAGAGGTGGTTCCAAAGGTATGCGGGTCCCAGACTATGTAGGGCTTTAAAGGTCAAAACCAACAACTTGAACCTGATCCGGTGTTCAATCTGGAGTCAGTGCAGCCGGTGGAATACTGGCTAAATGTAGGCTCTGGGGTTCTAGTAAGAATTTGCTGTTATAAATAATTAGTATAGGACAAGTAATCTTTCCACTATTTGATAGGACTTCCACCTCAGGTATGTACGTATAGTACAGTAGTGGATGTTCTATCAAATAGTGATAGAACTTCCACCTCAGGTATGTACACACAGTAGTGAATGTGCAGTGTTTACAGACTGTCTATCAATTTCATTACACCTCTGTGAGACTAATGTGAAAACGATACAGTATGCTTTTTCACACAAAAAGCCTCTTTTTGTGCCATAGTCATTTGCTTTGCATTTGAATGTGATACATCTGACAGCTGATAAACCAATACAACTTTTGCATTGTTATAACAATCTTTTCAAGTGCTTCCAAAACAAAAGGCAAACTGGGCAATGATTGATTTTACTTTCTAACCTTGTGAAATCCATGTAAATTGTAGGTAGCAAATGGGTATACTGTACACTTATTATTTGCGGAGTATACTGTGTCCAGGATATACACCCCAGGCATTTTATATGCTGATTACATAAAAGTTAAAGGCCTAAAGTGTGCTTGCTAAGATAACCCTTTGGAGAGGTTAATTCTTCAATTCATTAATCATAAGAAGGAAGCGGAAAATTGTATAAGCAGTCTACCACAGTCAGTCTTGGAATGGAGACACTGTATTATTTACTGAGGGAACAAATGTAATTCTGTATGGTGATTAGATCAGTGTTGGTGCCTAATTACACTGTACTGGAGAGAAAAAAATAGGGTCCTAAAAAGGCCAGGGGACAATACCTCTGGGGCCTATTTATCTGCATGGAAATATGGGTGAGGGGTCTATTGGGGTAATCTATTCAGCTCTGCGAACATTAAGTATCCCATTATTCCTGGAATGCCATTGCTAACAGTGCTGAAAAGCCCTTCCAGTGAAACCTGCTATGTAAGAGTATTGTTCTGGCAACATTTTGTGCTTTCTTGGTCCTAATTTATTTTAAAGCTGATTTTTTTTCCCCCACACAACCACCCATTCCTTATAAATGCCTTGCTAATTTCTTCTGCTGTGTTTCTAGTGGGCAGGAGGTAGGCACTGCCAGGCATGGGCTGTAGGTTGTAGTGGTTTTGAGGCAAGAGACCTGTCAGTGTCCCTTCATGTGCCATTCCACTTTTAGGCTTGCTTGCTCATTCATTTTTTTTTCCCATTTGGTTTTTCCCCCATTAATTCATTTGTTCTTTCATTAATGCACTCATTCTCTCTCACACACACAGTTCAGTAAAGAGTTCAGTGTGCATATAATCAAGGTAAGTTCACCTGATGATTGTGCTCATGTCAATGTTTTCAGAATTACTTGCTCTTAACGAAATGCATAATGAGCTCAGCCCTGGCCAAAGCAGATCCCCCCCAGCCCTTCCACTGAATTATTCTATTGCACTCATCCTCAGCACTATCCAGAGTACAGAGTTTTTGTAAGTCTAAGAGCAGAGGATAAATATAGCAGTCTTTATATTGACAAAGCTGGTCACAACTCAAACAGGGCCAAATATAAGTAACACGACCTAATGGTTGGGGGGCAGGTGACCTCCCAGAAGCAGAACCTCATCGTCATTCACCTGTTATAGAATCCCGGCCTTGGACTGTTAGATGTGTGATATTTCCCAAAATAGAAAACAGAGCAGACAGTTGTGTTGATACATGGGGTCATAATCAGCAGCAGTGTAATAGGTTTTCATTAGGGTCATTCAAAAGATTAGAAAATAGCTAAGTAACTGCAGAATTTGAATTCATCAGAGCTCTTCATTAAATTGAATGTTAAATGTGGGGGGGGGGTCGGGGTGGATAAAAGAAAGATATTTCAGGGCATGTTGGAAGAGTCCGACTGGGAAAATCTTAAGAACACTTTCCTGGGAGTAAGCACCACTGAATAGACCTGAGCAGGATTCTGAGCAGACCTGCTTTGGTGTGCTCCCCAAACGTAGCACTTTGGGGGGAGGCGGTTTTAATGCATAACCTGTACTCTGGACTAGAGGCCACTGTCCAGACAGAATATGCAGAAACAGAATGGTTTCTAATTGGCAAAGGTGTCAGATAAGGATGCATTTTATCTCCCTATCTCTTCAATCTATATGCAGAACATATCATAAGGAAAACTGGATTAGATTTAGATTAAGGTGGAGTGAAATTGGTAAAAGGTATAAAGCAGATGACACCACATTACTGGCAGAAAATAGTGAAATCAAGCATGAACTCTCCAAAGAAGCTAAACTGACTAAATTGAGGCTACCATACTTTGGTCACATTATGAGAAGACAAGAGTCACTGGAAAAGACAATAATGCTAAGGAAAGTCGAAGACAGCGGGGAAAGAGGAAGACTCAACATGAGATGGATGGACTCAATCAAGGAGGCCACAATCAAAGAAGCCTCAGCTTGCAAGAACCGAGAATGGCTGTTAATGATTAGTACACTTTGGATGGCATTAATTCATGTAAAGGTAAAGGTTTCCCTTGCTTGAAAGCTAGTTGAATCCAACTCTAGGGGGCGATGCTCGCCTCTCTTTCCAATCTGAAGAGCCAGCACTGTCCAGAGACATTTCCCTGGTCATGGAGCCGGCATAACTAAATGCCGAGGCGCACGGAACGTTGTTACCTTCCCACTGAAGCGGTGCCTATTTATCTATTTGCAATTTCCTACTTTCGAACTGCTATGTTGGCAGGAGCTGGGGCCAAAGACAGGAGCTCACTCTGTCGTGGGGCACTCGGGTCTCAAACTGCTGAACTACAGATTTCCTGGTCTGCAGCTCAGCATCTTAAACTCTAAGCCACTGCGGCCATAAATCAGAAGTGACTTCACACACACATACACACACAGAGGTTTGAACACCAACAAGAGTAAGTGACATCAAGAAAAGGCCTTAACCTCTATGGCCTGTTTATTGGCTCTCCAGGGCAACTATTTGGCTGTGGTGTGAAACGGGATGCAGGCAAGGGTGTAGACTTTCCAATTTCGGGGGGGGGGGCGCTGGGGCTGGGCCAGAGGCATTGATTTGCTAGGAGCAAGGGTGGCTCCCGGGGGAGGCTGAGCACCTTCCTGAAAATTTCGGTGGAGGCTGACGGCCCGCCGCCCCCACGCCTATGGATCATGCAGGACTAGAGGACCACTGCTCTGATCCAGCAGGGCTCTTGTGTTCTTACCAGCCGTATAGTTTTAGAAATTTAAACCAATTACCGTCTTTAGATGGCCGTGAACGCCACTGCAAGGAACACTGGATTCCCCCTAAATGTCACTGCCACTATGCCCCCGGCTGTTTACCCCAGCAGCCTCGGGCTCCGGGAGCCAATGAGTGGGCATGCCTGTTGAGAGCAAAGAAGGAGACCTTGCTGGAAGGCGCAGACAGCGGGGAAATTTGCCCTTTCTCTGTCCCAGGCCCTGGGCAGAGCAGAGAGGCAGGACAGGCTTTCTGCTAGCGCTGGAGGGGGCGTCGGCCCGGGGCTCAGCGGCCTGTCTGGGAAACGGCGAGTATCCACAGATGCTAGCAAAGTCGATGCCCCCTGGCTGGCTGGCTGGCTCCCACGCTTGGCCACTGAGCTCCAACAGAACGCCTCGGCTTCACTTCAGTGGAAGGGCGACTCCCATTTTCGCACACCCCCGTCGGATGTGATTGGCGGCTGGCTGCGCACCCTTGTTTCGTTTTACTCCCTTCTTCTTTGTCTTGGGGGAGCAAACAGGCGCCGCGGGGGGCGGCGTCGGGGCAGAGAAAGACAAATGGAAGCGAAGTGACTTGGAAGTGGTGGTGCAGGCGCGGCCGAAGAGATTCGAGGGCACCGCTTCGATTCTTCCAGGGACTGGGGCGTCGTCTCTGCTTCCCCTTATCCTTTGGGCTGCTGCTGCTGCGAGACGTTGCCTTCTGCCCGGGGCTTCCCTTCTCGGCTCCCTCGGATTGGGTTTGGAATCAATTCCTTGTTAAAGAGATACGCGCTGGCCTGGGGTCGCCGAAGCTCAGCCCTCATCGTGATTGTTCCTGTGCCTCCCGGAGCTTGAACGACGTGGGGGGCTTGCTGGGGAGGGGTCTCCAATGCAAATCTGGGACCCGCCCCCCTCCCCAGCCTGTAGACCTCGGCGGGGCAGACGCGGCGAGCCCACCGTGGCCGGGTCGTCTGGCGATGGAGGCGCCGATCCTGCAGCCTTCCGCCGGGCCGCTCTGCTAGTGCCTGGAAGGGGCCCCGTCCCGTCTCCGGAGGGCCCTGGAGTCGCCGGAGCAGAAGAGGAGCCGCGACGAGGACGGTGGAAGCCCCGGACGAAAAGAAGCGCCGTCGGATTGCCCGCCGTCCCCAGGGTCCAGCCCGCCTCTTCGCCGCGCGAGCATGGTGCCGATCGCTTGGACCACTTTCCTCCTGGCGCTGTCCGGGCTGCCTTGGGCTGCAGGTGGAGCTCCTGACCCTGCCAGGTGAGTGTCAGAGAGGGGCGGGGGGCTGGCACAGCCTTCTGCCCCCTTCCCTCGGTCCCTTCGGATGGATGGAATGCATCGGATTGCTCCGAGAGGCTGTCCGCGCCTGGTCTGCGCATCTCCACTATTCGTGATCCCAAACTTGAAAGCCAGCGGGGATTCCCTACCTGCAGAGGCGATGGGACAGAGGTAGAGCGTCTGCTTTGCATGTAAAAGGTCCGCGGCTCAGGAAAGTGTAGTCTGGGAGGCTTTTAAAATTATTCTTATTATTATTTTGCATTTGTGTGCGTGTGTGTGCCGGTGCCTGGAAGTCATGGCGACCTCTGGCGACTCCTACTGGGGCATGGAGGACGTTCAGATTAGTGGCTTGATAGCCTGCCTCTGTCTCCTGGCCCTGGTATCCTTTGGAGGTCTCCCATCCAAGTACTTGCCAGGGATCTTCCAGGATCTGACGAGATCGGGCTTGCCTGGGCTATCCAGGTCAGGGCGCCTGAGAGGCTTTCCCACACATACTTGTTTTCTCTTGATGCTGCTGCTGTTCAACAATGGACAAATGTGAGAATTCACCCAGAGTTTAGATCAGGGCTCAGTGTGAGCTGGGATTCATCACCACCAGCACTGGTTTTTAATGTTAAGATCCAACCTTGGAAGTTCTGAAGATGTGGGTGCTTTGGAGCCTATGCAGAGTGCATTTCCATCATCAGTGATTGGGGAATGCTTACTGAGGCTCAGAGATAGAGCTTGTTGGTCATGAAAAGGAGTTTCCAAGCAAGGGTGGTGCCAAGGACCTCTTTTGCTAAAAGCAAACCACCATTTGACTTTGACTGAAGTTGGGTCTCCCATGGGAGCTTATTGTGGGGCCAGTGGCAAGCTTCGAAATCATTTAACCTGCAGTTGGCTGATTCAGAAGACTGGGGGAAGCACCACCCAAAGTTAGGTTTGCATGATTTGCTCCTTAGAAGATTTGCGGAAGTTTCTGATGAATGGCGAGAGATTGGCATTGCCCTTTTCGTTCAGTCTTTGGCTTGAATCCTCCCAGCAGAATGAAGCCTGTGAATCAGGACTTCCCCACCGCCCTGCTTCTACTGCAACCCTCTGACCCCCCCCCCCCAACATCTGCTTCTGGTGGGGAAGGGGGTCTTTGAGAACAGTGCAGGGGAGAGGCAAGTAGGCAGAAATCACCACCTCCTCCTATGCCAACAGAAATGCTTTTCTGCCAGCATAAGTGCACTTGTGGTGGTGAAATGGCAACCTTGGATCCAACTCTTTGTAGATCTGAATGGGCCATTTGTGAGCTCAGCCCTAGAAGATGTTTCAGTGCCTATAACCTTGGAAGAGGTCATGAGGAAGAGAGTTGTTCTGAACCTCTGCAGAATGTAGGTTTCATGCTCAAAGACTCCTTCACTGCCAGGGGGTACAGTAGCTACTTAGGAACTACAGACTACCCACCCATAATGTTTAGACTACATAGAGCACTTGTTCAAAGTGCTTATTTATTTATTTTATTATTATGCATTACCTGTCAGTGATCCTTGTAGCTCAGCAGTTATGTTCCCATAATACTGATGGGGAGTCAAAGCCCAAAAACACAAGCTAGCAACATCATGGTTGGTTGACATGAGATCTGAACCAGCTCTTTCTTGTTTTACAGCTCAGTCTCTTAGACCGTTGTCCTAAGCAAAGTTATACCACCCTTCTAAATCCATTGGGTTTAGGAGCAATTTCTTTTGGGTTTGCACTGTACATCTCTAAAATAGTTACCAGATTAGGATTAAGATGCAGGCAAGATTTTGAGATCCAAGGGTTCAGTTTCTTAAACATTGTCCTCTTTTTCTCTATTTTATCCTTTCAGCAACTACTCTGTGAGGTAGGTTAGGCTGAGAGACACCCGGTGAGCTTCTGTGACGGAGCGGGCATTCAAATCTGGGCCTCTTAGATCCTAGTTTGACAAGAGCTATTGCACCGTGGTGCTCCATCTTTCTTCTGTGGCATTCAGGATGGTGTAAATAAAGTTCTCAGGCAGTCTCCTGTCCAGGCATTGCCCTGACCATGATACATCATCATCATGGTTGCTGCCAGGGCTATTTTTGGGCAGGAACGCACAGGAACGGAGTTCCGGCTAGCTCCTGAGTTGGCCACACCCAGCAGGAACTCATTAGCATAATAGGCCACACCCAACAGCAGAAATTCATTAGGATTGGCTACAGTAGGGGTGTGTGGCCTAACATGCAAAGGAGTCCCTGCTACAAAAAAAGCCCTGGGTTTTGACAACAAGTTAAACAGAATAAGAAGCAAAAGGTGGGTGTGGCTGGATGATCACACCTCTGGTAACATGGGGTGTGTGGCCTAATATGCTAATGGACTGTGTTGTCAAGGGTGTGGCCTAATATGCTAATGAGTTCCTGCTGGGCTTTTTCTACAAAAAAAGCCCTGGTTGCTGCATCAGGGGTCTTCCAATCATGTCCTGCAGAAGGGTCAGCAGTGTCACGTCAATATCATTTGAATACTGAGCTTCACAATACTGTTTGGAAGTAGAACTCATTGGTTGATATGCCCTCTTTTAGAAGGTGTAGAAACAACTCACTTGGGCTCTGGTCTTCAAGTCATTTTTTGTGAAGCAGCTGCTCTGAACTGATCGCTTCCAGTCGTCAGGGATGCTCTAGACTAATCCTGCAATGAGCAGAGGGTTAGACTAGATGGCCTGTATGGCCCCTTCCAACTAGATGATCCTATGAGTACAACAGTGATATTTAGCAGCGCAGATTGGTTTTCTTTTCTTTTTAATTTTTATTTTGAACTTTTTGAGGAAATACAGAATAAAGAAAAGGGGTAATGGAAAAGAATAAAAAGTAAAATTACCAAAACATAGTATAAAGGGCATTTTTTGCAAATATAAAGGACAATCTTTGATTCAAATACTTGAATTTTTAGGAAAATTATATGACATAATAACTTTAAAAACCACAACAACCTACTCAACATTCTACGATTTTATCATAATATATTAACATTTTTATCCCATCTTATCACTCTTATCAGTTATATGATGAACCAGACTTATTTTCTTGCTGCTCTTCTTTTTCATTTAGATGTGAGTTTTGTGATTTGTCATGCTGGTTTTTAATGTTGATTGTTTCATGACAATTGCAAGCTGTTTTGAGAACTATTGATGGCCTGTGAAGATGTGTTTAATAAAAAATGAATCCATAAATATGCATTGCACTTGGAGACTCAGAGTTCAAATAATTTACCCAGCTGTCATCTTGGAGTTACATGTTACGAAAGTATGCATATTTTAGTGTGATCTGATTTTTCTTGTCAGTGCCATATTTTAAAAAAGTTGTCAGAAACCTGATCTAAATTCTGTGCTTTCTGAAATATATATGGTTGTGCACAATCATTCAGCAGCTGTTGGTTTTGGCAGTGGCTTTGAATATTTGCAATGTGTGACTGTTTGCTACTATCACCAGGTGTTCTTTCCACAATTTGAAGGTGGATTAGAAGATTACTCTGCAGTAAGGAATTAAGGTTTAAGATCGTGGATGCTTCAGATGTTAACAGTTTGAAGAGGGCATTCAGATGCATAAATTGAGTACAGGCATACCGCGAGTTTACAGGGCAGTTCTAAACAGCGTTCTAGGCAGGCCCGTAGCTATCAAGGGGCCCATGGGCCCCGCCCCCCACGGTTTTTGCAGACCCCTCCCTGATCCTCAGCTCCCCTTCCCTCCCCCGGCCCCTTCATTCCCTAATCGATCATCTTGTCAGCACTCTGTTGGCTGACTTGGGAGAGGAGCAGCAGGGCTTGTTGAGGAAAACCGAAAGAGGAGTGGAGCCAGTTCCCACCCCCTCAGCCTCAGCATTGGCTACCTTATTTGGAATAGTGGGCAGGCTCTAAGCAAAGAGCCCGCCAAATACAAGTTTAAGCCAGCCACCCCACCACTTCCTCCAACTCCAGGCTAACTGCAGCAGCAGCAGAGCATGAGGATCTGAGCCTTCTGCTTGTCCTCCTGCATGGCCCCGGGCCATAGCTCCTCCTTCTCTTTCTCTTCCTCCATTGGATGATCAGACCCCGGCAGCTCCACTTTCAGCAACTCAGCAGCTCAGCAGTCTTGGAGGAAGTCTCCTCTGCTGAGCCTGGTCATCTTTCATGAGGCTGGAATGACAGGCCCCTGGGGG